TTTGATTCCTATCGGTTTGGAGACTTCTAGTGCTTTTGTGAGGAAGAGTCCGACTCCTAAACATAGCAAGTTTGCGTACAAATTCGCAAGCGAGTTTGGTGAGTGACCGGTTGAATGTTTTTGATAACGACAGGATTAATTGTAATGTTAAAAACACTGCCAATTTGGACGAGTTATCAGACTTGTTTGCGTATGCTGATGAACAGAATGTAGATTTGGTTAATAATGCTAATAACGTTGCACAAAATCATGTGCAAATAAAGGATCCAACATATCCATCGGACAGTTGTCGAATGTGTGCAGTTCTCTGGTTACCAAAGTATTACTACCCCCAAAGTCAAGTTCAAGCCCGACAGATTTGATTAATCCCATTAAGATTAAAATGAAAACTGATAACAAATCTGGACAGGACAATGGTGGTAATAATAACATGGCTTTAGCGTTTGAAAATCCTGTGTACCACATGGATTTTCAAAACAAGAACTCCAAAAAGTTGATTGAAAATTCCTTAACGCCTTCAAGTTCCGAAGAAAATTTACAAAGACCTGCTAATTATATTAGTTCACCTTTAGACACTCCCAGTCCGGTGATGAGGAGGAATTTAAGGATACCCAGGGACGAATCCTGGATTGTCTTATCCGGAACAATCGTATGTCTGATGAGAAAAGAATCGATGAACACAGGTACGAGATCGATAGGAATGTTAAAGATTTAGCAGTGTTGAGAACGAACAAAATTATTTAGCCAATAAGTTTAGAGATCTTTGGATAAAATAAATTCACCGGATTATGGGTATGAAACAACTACGAGTACCACAGGAATTATGATATAAATCCAGTCCGGTGCACCAATATCGGTATCCCTTTGCAACATTCGCATTCGAACAACAGTTTGTACTACCCAAATTCCAACTTAAGCCACTCGTACTCCAATACAAGTTTACAAAACTCTTCGAACAAACGCTTGCAGTATTTTGATCAACAAGGATACAAAAACGGAACTGGGTACAACAACGACTGCAACCGAGGCTATTTAAAAAACTCAACCTAAACTTCGATGAACAAATTACGAGTGCTCCCACGGTTACAAAAACAAATCCACCTACGATGACCAGCACGTAACAAACCATCATCTGAACTACGATAGTGAGAATATGATCCAGAGAGTGCCTATCAATCGGCAGATGTTGTCCATTGTTCAGGCAGTTTGCAGAAGAAGTTATCGAGAAGGTTGGTGGAGACTGATAGTTCCAGTGAGTCAGAGATTCAGTCGAGGTCTGAGTGTTCGCAGAGATCGAACACAGGACTGTGGAGCAGTGCGAAATGGAGATCGCAAGGTTGCAGAGGACTATCGACAGGTTGCAAGCCAAGTTGCAGAGGAGTGGGAAGAACGGACACCAGCAGTATACTGTGTCCGATGATAATAAAATGAAGAGTATCATTGCCAGGTAGGATAGAAAAATAATACTTGTGGTGTATGGCATCGTGTCTTAAGGCAAATTGCTGGAACTTCTAGTACCGTAATGAAATATCGTGAAATTTTAAACGTTTTCAAATATATTATTACAAATACTGTAAATTTCATTATTTTTGCTATCTTGTTATATATCTCAGCACATCAAATGTAAATCATAAATCATAAATCAAAATATCTCCAGAACATTAACAATCGTCATTTCATTTCGAATTCAATTTCAAAAAAAATATTTACACAAAAGTGAAAAAATGCTCCCACATAGTCACAGTCTAAACGCATTTGCAAATAATTCTCTTCGGCATTTTCACTTATACTGTGCTTAGCTTGGAGGGGTATAGTAAGATATCACGTGTATTTATTATTTAACTGACTTTTTTTAAAAAAAACAAAACATTTTAAAAAAAATTAAAACTAGCAGTAAGTGGAATTCTGTCTTAAGGCAATTAAGGCATCGTGCCTTAAGGCAAATTGCTGGAACTTCCCGTACCAAATTTTTTTTTTTTAAAAACATTAACATTTTTGAAAAAAAACTATAAATTGGACTTTTTTTTAATTTTTTTTTTTGAAAAAATAATCTTTTCTTTATTTTGACATATTTTGGAAGATCTAAACTTTTTTTCAAAGCAATCGTACTGCTTTAACTGCATAAAGACGAAATATCAAAGTCGCCGTCTAATGCGTAAACGGTTGGTACGGAACCCATAGGAATGTAAACCAAATTTATACTTATTATTAAAATCTCTAAAATATCTGATAATTTGATGTGCATATGTCTAATGATCATTTTTGACCGCCAAATGGCATTTTTTTTTACTTTTTTCATTATATCTCCGAAACCGCTAGACCTGCCTTTATGAAATTTGACTAGTTCTTCACCTTGGCAATATAAGTAAATATATTTTTTGAATTATTAAAATCGGACGATTCGTTCTCTTAAAAACTGAGTTACCGTTTTCGGCACTTTTTGCCCCGGATCTTCGAAACGGCTAGACCTGCCTTTGCCAAAAACTAATCAGCACGTCTCCTTATCAATACGAATCGAATGTTTTTGAATTATTCAAATCGGTTGATCCGTGTTCCCGAAATCGTCGACGAAATTTGTATCCGCACATACATACACACACGTACATACATACACACACACACACACACACACACACATACATCCATTTTTTCTAAGGTATGCCAAAATGTTCAGAAACCTTTGAAACGTAAAGATATATAAAATTTTCATTTTCGATTTTTTTTCGATTACTATAACTTGCCCTACGGGAAGTTAATTAGACGATTTACTTGGTATAACGATAGAGTACTTGGTTTTAATGAACATACTAAACCATTAAGTCCTATGGAAACTGGTTCAATTATAAAAACTGGTGATTTTTGAAAATTTGCTATTGGAAAATACTCCGAGTCAAAGTTTGTCGTTCGTTTTCAATTATGTGTAATAAATCCACTCGGAATACTTCTAATCAATCATCATTAAATTATTTTTTATTAATAAGTCGATTATTTACACATATCGGAAAGCTCATGTAACTTGCCTCAAGGCTAAATACCAAACCAACTAGTTTAATATAAATTCCCAAAAATCACCTTTTTTAGGCGGTTAACTAGTTGTGCCCCTAAGGGGGTATTCTACTGTAGAGGTATGAATTTCGCCCGGTTTTTGAAGCGCTGTATAAAGGAAACAAATAATATTTTTACCATCGATTTTTTATCATTTGTTTATTGATATTTTATTATCACACAAAAAATTATTAGAAAAAAAAATTAAATTAAAAGTTAACAAAAAAAATTAATGAGAATAGAGTCAATTCAAACTCAAAAAAAGAGGGTGTCCTGGCGTGCATGATTCCAACCCTCCTGGTGATTTGAAACATAAAAAATAGATGGATTCTTAATTATTATAGATGCCGCTATCGTATGAACCTTGGATATGTTCATACGAAAATTTTTGTTTGAATGGCGGCAGTTTAAAAAAAAAAATATTTTTTTCATGTTTTTTTAACAAGTCCGATTTTTTAAAATACTAAATGAAAAGTTATAGTTTTGGGCAAGGTTTCATACGATAAAGAGATGTATAGAGAACCGCCAGCTCGAAAAAAGTAGTTCCGAGAAAAACGCGTTCAAAGTTTTGAGACAAGTCGGACCCGAACCGAGGCCACGTCACTAAAACGGCTATAACTCAGGAAATTATAGTAATTTTGAATAATCCTTTTAATGACATATTTTTGAATAACTAAACTTTGAAAATATGAAAAAAACCATTTTTCGATTTTTTTCAAAATTCTACAGTAGAATACCCCCTTAAGGCAAAATGCCACTTACGACTAGATTATTTATCATTTATCATTTATCATCGTATCATTTACCTTCTAGGATGTTGAGTGTCGAAGAGGAGCGCAAACGCGAACAAATGAAGATGTCCCTGGCCCTGTCGCACAAGCAGCGGTTATAGACGCCCAGGGACAGCAAATAGCGGCCCTCGACGCCGCCAACAGCCGCCTTTTGAGCGCCCTCAGCAGCCTCAGGCACACCTCGGGCCCTACTGCGGTCAATCTGAACAGCCCCAACTCGAATAACGACGCCGACGACGAAGCCTAAGGGAAAAGATACGTAGGGATAAATGACACAGATATATATGGATATATGTGTGTATATATATACACCTAAGTCTGTTTTTACAGGGTAGATTGGTTCCAGAAGAAGCCGTGTAAAAAAAAACGTGTAAAAAAAGACATAGATCTTATACAAAAATGGGTGATTCGTTCCTAATCTCTAAAACCTATTAAAATTAGTGAAAAAAGAATTTTTAAAAACAAGAATTTATGTTTATTTTATTAAATCAAATAATGCTTATTTTCACAAGTATAGTAAGTAATGATAAAAAAGATATGCACTCTAATCTTAAAAGTAATATAAATTAAATGTATGGCAAGTTCAGGAACTAAAAAACTATGTTGTGAACGAAAAAAATAGGTTATTCAATTTTAAGGTTTCCCTAAATTAGTGCTATTCACATTTGCTTTGACCAGTAAAAATTGTTTGTACGCGCTAAAGGGGGATTCACTTAAATCTTTAAGCTAGTGTTCGCAAACTATCGATACTATCGATGGTTTCAGACTTTTTTCTTTCATAAATACTTTTTTGTGATATGAACATACTTCGCAAAAATTAAATTTGACAAAAAAATTTAAGTACATAAAATTTCAAATCGTGCTAAATGGAATAAAATCGTGTAAAAAAATTAAAAATATTCAATTTTCAAACCGTGTTATATCAAAACCGTGTAAAAACAGACTTAGGTGTATATATATATATATATATATATATATATATATATTATTGTGTTCCTTAGAATGGTCATTTTCGAATTTTCTTGCTCCCAGGGGCTCAAATGGTCCAAATAGATAAAAAAACAATTCTCTGAAAGTTTCAGCTCTTAATATTATCGTTTAGATACAGCGCAATTCAATCAAACTTCGTATGGAAAGAGCATGAAAAAATTTTGAAAATTAAAAAAAAATGTTTTAGGTATAACTTAGCGACAAATGAATGAATTTTATTCATTCATTTGTTTGCTAAATTACATCTGAAAAAACATTAAAAATAAACTTAAAAGCTATTAATTGAATTGCGGACTATCTAAATGTTAATATTAAGAGCTAAAACCTCAAGAGAATTTCTTTTTATCAATTTGGAACCATTTGAGTCCTTGGGAGCAAGAAAATTCGAAAATGACCATTTTAAGGATCACCCTAATATATATATATATATATTTATATATATACATAATAGATGAATCTTGGATTTTTCAGTAAATTGATTTATGTCTTTAATCCTAAGATTAATCTAAAGAATACAAAACAATTAATTTTTAGTAGATGTTTAATTGCGACGTTTCGGAACTGGATACGTTTCATTATAAGGGTTTTATGTTAAAAAAAATTTAGTGATGCGAATAAATAATATTTGTTTCACCATTTTTTAAATTTTACACAAGGCACATAGTTAATTATTCACTTATACATTTTTAAACATTCTGTTATCTATCGATGTGTCCTTTATCGTCTGTAATCATCAAATGATTTATTTATTAATATTGTTTCAAATAATTTGTTTTTGACAGTAAAACCTGATGATGGAATATATACGGTTCCGAAACATCGTAAATAAGCATATGCAAAAAACGGATTTTTTTTTTATTAATTGTTCGGATTGAAACATAAATCAAATTATTGAAAAATCAAAAATTTGTCTATTATATATTATATTATGGATTATATATATATATATATATATATATACATATATAAATATATATATTTACATAGATTTATATTACTGGCCTTACATAAGTTACTGAAGATTTAACTTTTTTCTGATATCGACAAGATTTTAGACAGTCACAGTTTTAACAGATGAATTTTTACATTTCAGAAGAATCTGTTAAAGCAATTTATTTATTTATTTAAATTTTTTTATGCAAGGCCCAGATAATATAAGGCACCAATCCTGCGTTGTTATAGCAACGCTATATTATTATTTTATCTTAAGAAAATGTCTATCTATTTGCCGTGCGATCAGGCGTATTTTACACATAAACAAAGCAAGGAAGAATGTTATGATAACTGCATCTTCGTGATACGCATTTATATAAGATGACCGTATTTTTTTTTAAATTAAAACCGGGACGGCAATTTTTGGCTATTCTAATCCGGGACAGAGAAATAACAAATTTTATTTAAGGATACAACAAAAAAATAGTTTTTATTTCAATTCATTTTCATCAGAATTGTTGCGGACTTTTATAAGAACTATCTTATTTTTTTTCGATCTAACTTTTTTTAGCTTTCGAGCCTTGTATAAAATTCTATTCAATTTTCTTCATAATTATTTTGAAAAAAAAATGTTTTCATAATTTTTGTTGATTTACTTATTAATTTTCGAAAAGTCGGGACGATCCGGGACAAAAGATCTAAATCGTTTACAAATAATGCTTTTAGAAAACCCGGGACACAAGGTGGAAATCCCAGCCAAACCAGGCGTATGGTCACCTTAATTTATAACATATGGTTTTATATGTAAAATACGCCTGATCGCACAGCAAATAATTAGACGCGGCTATTTTACCGCAGAATTGGCTCCTAAGTCTACGTTAATAACATTACAAGTAATGTTTCAATTACACATTTGTTATTTATTCCTCCAACTAGGCCAATTGTATTAATTTTTTCAATTCAATACTGCCTATTGATTTTACTAAAATCGACAAGTAATGTAAATAAATTATTAATATATTCTAGTTTGTAATTATAAACTTAAGTTATATACTTTTTTTAAAATGTTTGTTTGTTCAACATTAAATTTTTATTCAATATATATATTTTATTATAAGTTATTATACTCTTATGGTTATTGCTCTGTTTATATAGTATTTTAGTTGCTTAAATGTAAGTACGCACAAATAGCTAAATGTATATAAAATTATAAGTATTTATAATAGGAATTAGTTATATATATATATATATATATATATATATATATATATATATTTAAAGTTGCAAATGCTTTTATCATTTTCAAGCAATGTTTATCATAACTCGTTGAAGCGATTTTATTTCAAAGAATAAATATGATCTTTTGGAAAAATTGAGGAAAAACTAAGTTATTTAAACTGTGTTATTTTTTCTTTAATTTTTCCAAAGTTCTATTGATTTATTCTTTATGTTAAATGCTGCTACAAGCTGTACTATAACTATAAACTATATAATTTTGTATAGCTGCCCTTTATAGTATATATAAATATACAGTGATACAGTTGGTGTATCATTAATCGATTCGATATCAACAACTAATCAGAGTCTTCGAAGGTCTTGGAAGATCTCTTGAGGAGGCCCCAAAGAATCTTTATAAAGATTTTTTTAAAGAAAATCTTGAAGAAAGTTTAATAGTCTTTTAGGGTCTTTCCGAGCCTTGAAGCATCCGTTGAGAGTCTTGAAGAATGATTTGAGAATCTAGAAGAATTCTTTCAGAATCTTGAGATTTTTTTAGTCTCAGGGGATCTCTGTGATTCAGAGCCTTGAACATTTTTGAGTCTTGAAATTTTTTATATTTGATCATTTTTCGGTGTTTTTCAAGAATCTTTAAAGTCTTGTAAAATTTAGGATGTTTTTAGAATTTTTGAGATTTCTGAGAGTCTTGGAGGATCTTTCGGGTGTTTTGGAGGATCTTTTGAGAGTCTTTGTGGAATTTTTGAGGGTCTTTCAAAATTTTCTGGAGTTTTCAAGGATCTATGAGAGTCTTGGAAAATACTCAAAAGTCTTGTAGGATATTCTAGAGTTCTGAAGTTTTTTTAAAGTCTTGAAAATTCTTCAAAAGCCTTGGATTATCTTAGGGAATCTTCTAGAGTCTTGTAGTTTTTCTGAAGTCTTGGAGGTTTTTCTAGAGTCTTGGAGGTTCTTCTAGAATCTTGTAGGATCTCTAAGAGTCTTGGAGGTTTTTCAAAGTCTTGGAGTATCTTAGGGAATCTTGTAGGAATTTAGAGTCTTGTAGGATCTTTATAGTCTTGGAGTTTTTTTTTCTAAAGTCTTGGAGTTTCTTCTAGATTCTTGGAGGTTCTTCTAGAATCTTGTAGGATCTTTTAGAGTTTTGGAGCTTTTTCTAGAGCCTTGGAGGTTTTTCAAAAGTCTTGGAGTATTTTATGGAATCTTATAGGATCTTCTAGAGTCTTGTAGGATCTTCTAGAGTTTTGGAAATTTTTCTAGAGTCTTGGAGGTTCTTTAAAAGTTTTGGAGGAATCTGTTGAGAGTCTTAGAGGTTCTTCTAGAGTCTTTGAGGATCTTTTTGAGTCTTGGAGTATTTGCTGAGAGTCTTGAATGATCTTCTAGAGTTCTGGAGGTTCTTTTAGAATTTTGAATCTTTTTTAAAGTCTTGGAGAGTCTTTTAAAGCCTTGGAAGATCTACTAGAGTCTTAGATGTTTTTTTAGAGCCTAGGAGGATGTCTTAGAGTCTTGGAGAATCTTTTAGATTCCTAGAGTCTTTGAGACTGGCATGGAGATTTTTTAGAGTCTTGGAGGACCTTCTAGAGTTTTTAAAGATCTTCTGGAGTCTTCAAAAATCTTCTTGAAGCTTGGAGGATTCTTGGGAAATTTTTTGAGAGTCTTTGAGGATTTTGTAGATTGTGAAGACCTTCTGGGGTCTTTAAAGTCTTCTTGAAGCTTGGAGGATCTTCTAGGGTCTTGGAAGGTCTTCTAGAGTCTTGGAGGATCTTTCTAGATTCTTGGGAATTTTTTTGAGAGTCTTTTAGGATCTTGTAGAGTTTTTGAAGATCTTTTGGAGTCTTTAAAGATCTTCTTGAACCTTAGAGGATCTTCTAGGGTCTTGGAGGATCTTTTAGAGTCTTGGAGAATCTTCTAGATTCTTGGAAATCTTTGGAGAGTCTTTTAGGATCTTGTAGAGTTTTTGAAGA